GCACACCCTAGGTCATTCCTGTACATGCCGGGTGTGTGTACGTGCCTGTTACCTAGGTCAGCTAACACTAGGGACAGACGGCAGCATGAAGACTCTGTTGAGGGTGCCTATTTCTTTCTATCCATCTTGCTCAATAATAATAATAATAATAATAATTCAATAAACTTTTAAAAAATAAAAGATGAGAAGCTTAAAAAGAAGAGTAAATCTTTGGTCCAATTTGTGAAGCTGAACGGACGTGGACTGTCAAGACAGACGAAATGAAAGAAAAGCTACCTTATCCCACTATTTTGCTAGAGGAGAAGAGAGCAGATGGACTAAAAAACGTGCCCTGAAAATTCAACACGAGGTTTACAAGCGAATTCCAACAAAGTTGAAATAAACTTAATAAATTCTTTGCTTTCTTTGCCACTGAGGGACTATGTGTTTACATTATTTGGCCATAGGGTGCATATGTTCACCAGAGAGACAGACAGAGAGAAAATAAGAAATCACTCTTCGAGGCGGGTGAAGGCCATGCTGCAATCTCTTCTCCTCTATTCCCCTCTTTGGATGTTGGGCACAAACATATACCCAACCTGGCATGATTTTCAACCTGCTGGACCCAGGATTCAAACAACAGTTAGCCATGTAGGAATCCAACACTTTAACCACCATGCCACTTGCTGGCCCTAGTATTTACATTTTTAAAGCAACATTATATGCCTAATACAGTGGGAGATCCTAAATATAAAAGAATCATTTGAGGGCCAGCCAGAAGGTACAGTAGTTAAGGCAGCTGGATCTCACAGAGCCGACTCTACAATTTGAGTCCCAGACCCAACAGCTTAAAAAATATGCCAGGCATGTGTGCCCAGAATCCCAAGAGGAGAATGAAGGAGAAGGGATGGCAGTGTGTTCATCCCCCCCAGGGCGGGGGAGGGGGGTGATTTCTTACTTTTTTTTTTTCTCTCTCTCTGGCAAGCACACATCCCCTATAGCAAAACTTTAAAAAAAAAGAAAAGAAAAGAAAAGAAAAGAAAAGAAAAGAAAAGAAAAGAAAAGAGAGAAAGAAAGAAAGAAAGAAAGAAAGAAAGAAAGAAAGAAAGAAAGAAAGAAAGAAAGAAAAAAGAAAAACATTTATTTCATGAATGAATGATTGCCCGAGCACACAAAGTCAGAAAAAAGCTGAGGTACCCAGCGCCCTCCTCTTTATGATATGACCTCAAAGAAAGCTCTGTGAAAACCAAACTGATCAGCTACAAATGGCACAGGAGAAAGTTTCCATAGAACCTAACCTGAACATTTCATTGAACTGCTCAGTCCCCCTGGTGTTACCAGCACTTGCTGCTGAAACGAACCTTGTTCTCTCCCTCGATCAGAGGAGGACACATAACAGACACCACGAGGTACTACGGGGAATGGGGTGAGTGCGCAAAATCACCCGTTCTGCTCCAATCCCTACCAGAATTTTGGCTGAAGGAGAGATGTAACCCCCATAAGAAGCTGACAAAGAGGGTGAGCATATACTTCCATGAGAATAGAACTCTAGGGAGCCATGATGCATCAGCCGATGACTAATTTGAGTCTTTTTAAAAAAAAAAAAAAAATCCCAGAAGAAAGTGTTGACAGTGCTGACAAAATTCTCCTTCTTAACCCCTCGGGGGAGAGCTTGGAAAGCTCCCCAAATGTCAGGCCTCTGGCCAAATCTACTTTGCCTACAGTCATATATCCATGGGTGGCAAGCTCCCTGTACCAGGCAAGGTTCAAATGGAGAGGCCTGTGAGGATGTGTCACAAAAGTGAGGCCAAGCCTGCGGTGCTTAACTGTCACTTACAAATTTGGAACTGAGGACTCTGGGTGGGCATTTCCCATGGGGGCAAGGCAATTCCAACTGTCAGCAGGGATGGAAAAGGCTCAGAGACCACTCGGGCTGTGAACTCCGCTTTCTGACAGCCCCCTCGCTTACTCTCTATTTAACTGAAGGAGAAGGAATTATAATGATTAATGTGCATTTATGGCCATTGATCTAAAACCAGCAGATTCTGCCAACAGAAATTTATTAGAAAGGAAACCAAGATACAACATATAATTAGCTGACTGATATGTAGCAGTTAATTATTTAGTCCCATGTTTCACCTCTTCCTTACTCCCACTGAGTTCCTTACGGCCAATTCTCTGTTGACTAAGTTCCTTCATCCATTAGAGAAATGAAGCAGGGGAGATTCAGTCACTGTGAAGCAGTCCGTGGTTACAAGCTGTCAGAAAAGGTTTGATGAAGGGAAGGAAATGAGGGGGGGATGTTATAATTGTGGGAAAGGCACTGTTTGCTTTGGTTAGCAGGGTAGAAAGGGAAGTGGGGCACCGGAGCCAAACAGACTGAACTTTACTTTCTTTCTCTGCTACTTACTAGCTGTGTGTGTCCTTGGGCAAGTAACCTGGTCAGTGTGAGTAAGCTTCCTCCTGGGGAAATGGGAATATTAATATCTATGTTGGAGGGCAGCCGCAAAAATCAAACAAAATAATTCAGAGAACCAAATACCCTGTCTTTGTGGTAGGCACTCAGAGTACATTATTAAAATTACTTAGAAGGAACTCTGCTCACATAATTACTGCTCTTTTTTTTTTTTTTTCTTTTAGAGGTTTTTGCTATAGGGTGCGTGCACTCGCCAGGAAGACAGAGACAGAGAGATAGAAAGCGAGAAATCACCCCCTGGGGGAGGGGGCGATGGCCACGCCGCAATCCCTTCTCCTTCTCCTCCGTTTTCCTCTCGGGATCTTGGGCACGCACGCACATGCGCCCGGCGTGAGTTTAAGTCACCGGGTCTGGAACTCAGACTGCGGTAGGCTACATGGGAGTTCAGCGAGACAGCCTTTACGCTAACTGCTGGTCCCTGTAATTACTGCTCTTAAACTGAGAAGCAGGATTTCTCAGGCACAGGTCCACATTTTAACCTGCAAACTTCTTGATGATTCAAATTTACATCTGCTCATGTGCGTGACTAAACCTTACCTGTCGGCTTCCCTGCTTGGAGGAGCAGCTACTTGTGCTCCTCGAAGGTGAGACCAATTTTTGGGACACACCAAGGTTCTTCTCGTCACTCATCATGAGCAGCTAGTCACTTGGCCTCGATGCAGTCAAAATGCCATCAGAAAAGGTTGGAGCCAAGAATATGGAGTCCCACGCAGGCAGGAGGTTCAGCTCTTATCCAATATGTTTTAAGAGCATTTTGGGTAACGCAGAGGAAATCCCTAAAAGCAAAAGAAAAGGAAGTACAGAGGTCAGAGGCATCAGACTTTTATCACCAATGAGCCACGAACTATCTGTAAGTGGCTTATCCACACTGCAAATTACTGAGTCATAATGTTCACCTATAGCAGGGGCTGCAAAAGCAAAGACAATTCATACCCTTCTCTAACTGGAAATTTTGTATATGTGGCTTATCATGTAACTTTGTAATATGACAGCCTTAAGAACATTATTATAGAAATTTGAGTCTAAACACACATAAAATCAGTACAATAAAAAAAAAAAGAAAAGAAAGAAAAGAAAAAACCCTGGGACCAGCAGATGGCGTAGTAGTTACATCACCAGCAACGTCCTGCGTGGCCGACCACAGTTCAAGTCCTGGACCCAGTGGCTTCAAACACACACTGAGTTCATGTGTGTATATGCTCAAGATCCTAAGAGGAGAATGGAGGAAAAGGGACTGTGGTGTGCACCCCCAAGGAGAATGGAGGAAAAGGGACTGCGGTGTGCACCTCCTCCCCAGAGGGTGATTTCTTATTTTCCATCTCTCTGACTCTTTGGTGAGTGTGCACACTGTATAGCAAAAATCTCTCTCTCAAAAAACAAAAACAAACAAAAAAATCACACACCACAGTGGGATGCCAATTTATATCCACTATAATGGTTATCAAAAAAAAAAAAAAAAAAACTGGGGTGGGGCAACAGTTGGTGGGTGGATAAAGGAGCTGGATTCCCATATGGCCAAGCACAGTTTGAGTCCTGGACCTGGCAGTTTGCTGTCTCACTTTCCCTTTCTCTCTTTCTCTGTCTCTGTCTGGTCAAATTAATAATAATAATAACAACAACAAAAGAATGGAATTAAATAAATAGATAATTCTTTTTAAAAATTTTTTTTGAAGTAAAATAATTAGTGTGGGAAAGGGTATGGAGAAATTGGACCCTTAGATATTGCTAATAGTAATGAAAATGGTGGAGCTATGTTAGAGAAGAGTTTGGCAGCTTCTCACAAATTTAAAACAGAATTATTACATGATTCAGTAATTCCACTTCCAGATATATGGCCAAAATAATTGAAAACGAAATTGAAACAAGAACTTGGTAACCCAATGTTCATTTAGCAACATTGTTCACAAAAGCCAAGGGTAGAAACAGCCCAAATGTCCATCCACTGATGAATAGATGGGCTGGTGTAGCCATATCATGGAGAAGTATTCAGATATGAAAAGAAAGAAAGTATCGAAATAAAGTATGCTCCAACATGAATGAACTTTGAAAACATTATAGTAATGGAAAGAAGTCAGACACAATATAACACACATCATATGTTTCTATTTACATGAACTATAATTCAACAAACCTGGAGAGAGAGGTCAGGGGCTGGGGGAGGAAAGTATGAGGGTGTGACTGTTAAAAGGCTACAGGGTAGGGAACCAGCAGGTGGTGTGGTGGTTAAGGTGCTGGACTCCCACATGGCTAACCACAATTTGAGTCCTGGACCTGGCAGCTTGCTTGCTTTCTCACTCTCTCTTTCTCTCTTTGTCAATTAAAAAATAAAGACAATAAACAAAGTTAAATAAAATTTTTAAAAAATGGTTACAGGGTAGGGACTAGCAGATGGCATAATGGTTACATCACTGACTCCCATACAGTCAACTGCAATTCGAGTCTCATATACCAAGCAGCTTGAAACTCATGTTGGATGTGTGTGTGAGTGCCCAAAATCCAGAGAGGAGAATGGAGAAGGGGTTGTGATGTGGTCATTCTCCGGGGGGTGAGGGGGTGATTTCTCTCTTTCTGTCTCTCTGTCTCTTTTGTGAGCACAAGCACCCTACAGCAAAAATCTTTCTCTCAAAAAAGAAAGGGGGGGGGGCTACAGTTTCCTTTTGGGGTAATGAAAATGTTTTGGAACTATAGATAGCGGTGACAACAGCACAAAGTTGTAAATGTACTAAATGTCACAGAATTATAAACTTGAAAGAGTTTTAAAACTTTAATTTTGTATTATTTGCATTTCACTACAATTTAAAAAAATTTTTTTAGGTTTTTGCCGTAAGGTAAAAAGGCAAGTGTAAGCACCCTATAGCAATAACGTCTCCAACAAAAAAAATTAAAAAGAATTAAAAAAAAAAAAAAAAAAATGGAAAGAAATCAACTCACAGGGTGGATGATCATCTCACAGTCCCTTCCCCTCTATTTTCCTCCTGCGATTTTGGGCAAGCATGCACACACATCCAGTGTGATTTTCAAGTCACTATGTCCATGACTTGAACCACAGTCAGTCATGTGGGAGTCTAGTGCTTTAACCATCATGCCACCTGCCGGCCCCATAGTTATGTATATATATATTTCTTAATTTTTGTTTTCGTTATGTTTTTGTGAGTGGGCGGGAGATTTGTTCTCCCTAAAGCTTTTGGAAACAGCTTCTTAAAAACTTTAATAAGTTTTTGACAAAAACTATGGGGAGGAAGTAGATACTACTTACTGCCATAAATAAGTAAGTATATACTACTTACTGCCATACACCATACTAAGATTCCCACCAGTATTGTCCATTTAATTAACAGTTTAATGGGAGAAAATGATTTCTTTTTCATAGGGAAGAAAACTGAGTCTCTGAGAAGTTAGGAAATTTGCCCAATCGCACCTCCAACAAGAGGCTGACTAGGCTATTTCCCAGCTCTTTTTTGACACCGTGGTGCCAAAAATTAGTGCACCCCTAGTGGCCAAGTCTGGTAAAAACAGACATTGACCTCTCTCTGAGACCTAAGAGAAATAGGAAGCTGGACTAGAATCAGGTGAGAAAATGTCACAAGCCAGCTTTTAAAAAGTAACATCCCCTTCTTTTGTGTAGCATCAGACCAGTCTCCGAGATGGCAACTGCAAGGGAAGGAAATTGAACACAGCAGAGACAGAGATAACCCTATAAGTAGTCAGCTGGGCTGCCAGCTATTAGATCCAGGTGGAGGGCTTCCTAGTCTTTCAAGAAAGATATGAAGCCCCAGAACAGAACTGCTTTATCTGTATCCGTGAGGTAAGGGTAACTAACTTTTGGTTTTGGCTTCAGAAATCTAGGACTTTACCTAATAGACTAAATCTAAGTAAATACGCCGTTCAGTTACTAGTGTTCATACAGTTTAATTTTAAAAGAAGCGTTATATTATTGTCCAGCAACCAGTTAATTAGATATGATATCAAATTTTGGGCTGATTACTCAAATTTTCCATGCCTTCTTTGACCCATTTTAGTTTTATAAAAATGAGAGTACTGGAAACCAGCTGATGGAGTAATGGTTACATTGCTGGACTCACATGTAGTCAACTGTGGTTCGAGTCCTAGACCTGGCAGCTTAAAACTCACACCAGGCATGTGTGTGTGTGTGTGCACCCAAAATCCTGAGAGGAGAATGGAGGAGAAGGGACTGCAGTGTGGCCATCTCCTCTGTGGGGTAATTTCTTACTCTCTGCCTCTCTGGTGAGCCCACATGTCCTATAGCAAAAATCTCTAAAAACAAACACAAAAAAGTGAGTATGCTGGCCAGAGTTGGGGCAGTCCTGTGGCCTGCGTGGCATCAATCCAAGCCCCGTGGTGCTGTCTCACCGGTGAGTCCAAGAAGTCAGTGTGTCCTGCTCTCTGGCACCTACAGCCCCCTGCCCTCCCACCACTATAGACTATCTCATCAGCATCTAGGGCCCTGACTATATCCTTGTCACCTCTGACCAGGTGGCCGCCAACAATACTGTCCAGATGAAGGACCATCATGACAAGATGTTTAAGATGAGTGAACAAATCTTTCTAAAGAATTCTTTTATTTATTTATTTTTATTTAACTTGATTTATTTACTTACTTATTTTAATTTGACCAGAGAGGGACAGAGCAAGCGGGCTAAAGAGAGAGAAAGAGAGAGAGAGAAAGTAAGCTGCCAGATCTGGGCCTCGAACTGTGGTCGGTCAGCCATGCAGGAGTCCAGCCTTTAACCACCACGCCACCTGCCAGCCCCAAGTGAACAAATCTTACTCCTGTGTGTCCGAGAGGCTTTGCAGAAAAATGTGCAACTTTATAAATGCAAAATGGGTATGAACTGTCTCTAACAGCAGCAGCTAATTTCACAGGCTGAAACCTGGCTGACTGTCTTCGGGGTCGGACCGGTACCATGTGAACTTCCTCCTGTCTGGCTCCAGTGAGCACCAGGGCCCAGCGTTCTACTGCACGGGCCTCCTGGCAGCCTTGGCCAAAGCTCTTCTTGCAGCCCATGATTATGGGGCCCTCCTGATGCTCAGCATCCTGGACCAAGACTGCACACCAACTAGCTCATGAGTCGGCCGTGGAGCTTCTGGGGAAATGTCTGGGGGGGATTCCAAAAATGCTTCATCCTGAATCTGCCAAACTTCAGCGCTCAAATCATTGACAGAAACGGCCTCCATGACCTGGACATCTCCTTCCCCAAGAAAGGCTCCTAACATCATGCCCTCTCTTCCACTTGCCAGGGAAGTTTCTCTGATGGGCCTCTATTTTTCTGCTCTTTCGATGTGCACTCTTGACAATGGGGCAGAATAAGGCCAAATATGGACAAACTGGAAAAAAAAAGTATTCTAGAGCCGTGAACTAAAATCAAAATGGGGGCTAGACAGCGGCCCAATGATAAAATATGACACTCAGAGGTCGGCAGGTGGTGTGGTGGTTAAGGGCACTAGAATCCCACATAGTTGGCTATAGTTCAAGTCCTGGACCTGGTGGCATGTTTTCTCCCTGCCCCGCCTCTGTCCCTCTCTGGTCAAATTTAAATAAATAAATAAATAAATAATAAAGTTAAAGAAAATAATTCAGAAAAAAAAATGACACTCAGCAAGGCTGACCCACATGGGGAAGTTCTGCATTTACATACAAAGGTCTCCCTAAATATGCCGGGCACACACGTGCTTATAATCGGGGACTGGCTGAGTCTTGGGGTGGATCGTGGTATCAGGACCTTGTTGGAGTGCTTTCCCTCTCTCTCTCAGAAAAAAACAGTAAGCTTTTTAAAAAATAAAATAAAATCAAAACAATGAAGAGAAATATAAAAATCTCAGAAAATAAAATTAAGGTACTTGTCATAGAACCCAATTCCCATGTTACTCCCATAGGAACCCCCCAAATCTTTTAACGCATTATGTATTAGATCCCCAAAAGGAAACCAACACCAGATGCTTCAGAAAAGTCAGCTTTACTAAAGGGGGCATGACTTACCAGCCCTGAAATTCGAAGCAAATGCACTGTAGCGAAAACTGCCAGGAGAGGCTACAAAGAGACGTTAAAGAGTTTATTTAGTAACAGTGTTGGCTGTTGCTGTTTTGAGAAAAGGGGAAAGAAAACCCAACCTGATGGGAGCCCCAGATGATGAAGCCTGCGTGGGAGGGGGCAGTCATTGCCATGGCAACTGAGCCCACAGTGGATTAGAAATGCCAACAAAGGGTTTCTGTTTGTGTGCAGCAGTGTTTGTTTTAAGTCTGCGGGACAAATGACAGTGTGGAATGAGAGGTGTGTGTGTGTGTGTGTGTGTGTGTGTGTGTGTGTGTGAACTGTGAAGAATGGAGAGGAACTCAGGCCATAAAATGAGTCATAGGAATCCTGAACCAGGGCCTGATCAGAAACACCATAACCCTGCCCCAGAGGCAACTGATAAACAGGGATACCCTTATCTCTTAACCCTGCCAAATGCCTCGGGCAGGCAACAGCTGTAAGCAGGCCAAGTGTAGGCAAATACTTCTTGACGCTGGCCCTGAAAGTTAAGACCTCTGTCAGCACCACCCTCTGGTGGCCCCAACCCCATACTATTTCCCCCTCAGGGAAAAAAAGTGGGGATAGATCCCCAGCTCTTCTCAAAGGCATCTGGACTACTGCTCAGGGAAACGTATCTATCTCATTCCACAGAACCCTCCTGCTAGGCTCATCAGAAATTTAGTTAAAATTACCAAGGACAGCTTAACGGGCAAAAGAAGTCAAATTCTGGGAATAGAATATACTTAAAGAAGGCAGAATAAAAAAGAGGGCCACAGTAATTCAAGACTAAGGTACACATGCGCCAAGGTGGTCCCCTGGATGGAGGCAGCTATTGTGTCCACTTTAGGGGACTCACAGGGCTGGCCCAAGGTCAGCAGAGAGAGGCCATGGGAGGAGTCCTGAGAAAGAGGTGCCTTCTCCTCCAACTTGCTGACCTTATTGTGCTGACTGAGGAGAATGGTGACAATAAACTGCTCTCAGATGCTACGGGGCCAGAGTTCCAAGCTTCTGATTTGGGGTGGATGAGATGATGAAGAAAGACCCTTAGGTGCTTTTACCCTACCTAGTGATCCTTCCATGGAAAATCTCTAATTCAAGGGGCTTATGGGTTTGAGCAAAATGTAAATTTAAGTTCTTGGGGCTGGACGGTGGTGCAGGGATAAAACACGCTCTATGAGAGGCTGACTCACATGGAAGGGTTCTGAGTTCACACCCAGAGACCTCCCTGAGAGGAGGCATGCGCGTGCCCATGATCTGAGGCTGGCTGAGGCTGGGGGTAGACTGTGGCATCAGGACTCTGTTCGGGTATGGTCTATCTCTCTCTCTCTCCGAGGAAATAAATAAACATTAAAGGATAGACGTGGCCTCCCTGCTCACAGACTGTGAACAACCTAGGAGCAACAATTTATGACCACCTTACTTTCTACTGAGCTACAGCTTGGATGCAGTAAAGTGAGCAAATCTAACGTGCACACACAGAATTTGACACTGCAAACACACCACCACCACCATCTGGGTCAAGAACAGAACACTTACAGCCTCCCCGGAAGGCTTCTTGGTTCCCTAGAGCCGATCACTCTGCGCCATCCCCAGTGAACCCCTCCTGCAAATTCCTGTCAACATGCCCCAAGGACAGAGTGAGGACTTCCCCCAGCTTAGAGGAACAGGTTTGATGAGCAGCTGTGTTTGGATTTTCTGCCTAGTACAAGTTCTTGACGCGTGTCAGAAGTCATCCTGGGACCAAAGAAGTCATCCTGGGACCAACCTGCTTCCATTTCAACAATCTGGTTGAAGAGGAGAGAACTTCTAATTCTCCCATGCCTCTGAATCACAAATGCCACCCAATCCAAGAGGTGTAAAAAGCCAAAGTATTCGGGCCAATTTAAAAATAGCTTGTTTGTGCCTCTGGGAGGAGCTGGGTCCTCCCTCACTTGATGGGTCAGGCCTGGATGAAAAAAAATTGGTGTTTCAGTGAAAAGTCAAATGAACTTAAGACATGCAACCATATCTGGGGTTTCCACTAGGGAAAAGAGAACTGATTTCTACCAAGAAAATAAGAGAATTAATGACCCATATACTGCGATGTATTTTGGCCATGAAGACTGATTTTGAGACTTACTTTAGCAGATCTCAATTAGAAAATAAGACATAATTTGGGGAAAAATTCCCCTGCCCCCATATACAAAAAAGTTCATGGAAACGTATATTGTGAAATAGCCATGTCTGTATTTTTTTTTTAATTTGGAGCCAAAATAAACTCATACTTTAATTATTTTTCCACAAACTTTTTTTTTTTTTTAAGTTTTCGTCATAGGGTGCATGTGCTCGTTAGAGAGACAATGAGAGGGAAAGTGAGAAATCATGCCCAAGGGGGATTGCCCAGATCATAATCCCTTCTCCATTCTCCCCTCAGGATTTTGGGTGCATACGCACATGCACTCAGTGTGATTTTCAAGGCATCAGGTTCGGGACCGGAACGGTGGTGAGCCATGTGGGAGACCCATGCCTTAACAACCATGCGACCTGCTGGCCCCCATTCCACAAACTTTTTGAAGCTCCCCTCATCTAAATCCCTAAGAAGGAGTTAGACCTAGGCTTGAACCAATCCTCCATCATTACAAACTGTGCACCTTGACAAATATCTTAACCTCTTTGATTTTCCTTTTCTTCTGCATAAAATGAGAAATAACAATATCCCTCTCTTAGGGAACTGTGAGGATTAACTAAGAAAATAAGGATACCATATCAGGCTTAAATTGAACAGACACATTCCAGATGTTAGTCCTATCTCCTCCTGGTTTCCTGACAGCAGCATATGCTGTGCAAGATACGAACCTATACTCCTCTTTCAACCAAAAACAAATAAGGACTCTACAGAATTTTTAAACATTTGTGTCTTTCAACGTAATAACATTTCCTAAAATGCATAGCATAAAGCGTGAAGAGACTATTTTTAAATCATTAAAGTGGTGTGCTCACTGTGGGGGAAAATTTAAATGCAGAGAGATAAAAGTCACATCAATGATCACCACTGGCTATCCAAAAATGCAACTTAATATCACCTTGTACATTGGACTCAGCGGCACGTAGCACAGCTACGTACTCGCCCATGAGGTGTAAGGTCTGCAGTCACATACGTGGCCATTCTCTATCTGAGAAACAAGTTTAGCTTCCATAGTTGGAAATAACTCTCGTGAGGACCAGATGGCAATTTGCAAATAATTCGCAATTTCTCAGTAAAACATATAAGTTATGTCCTGAATTAATCTCTCCCCAAATTTATAATGAAATATCCATTTCTCATCATAAGTAAAAACTCATTTTTTTCAAAGCCTCTATAATACATCCTTTTAGAAATGGCACTCTCTGGGACCAGCAGATAGCATAACAGGTATGTGGCTGGACTCCCATGCAGTTGACCACAATTCGAGTCCTGGACCTGGTAGCTTAAAACTCACACTGGGCATGTGTGTGTCCATGTCCAAAGTCCTGAGAGGAAAATGCAGAAGAAGGAATTGCAGCATAGCCATCCCCCTGGGGAGGTGATTTCTCGCTTTCTCTCTCTCTGTTTCTCCAGCCAGCGCATGTACCCTTTAGCAAAAAATCTCTCTTAAAACAAAACAAAAAGAAATGGTACCGTCTGGTACACCTTGATTTCAAAATGTTAGATGATCAAGAGTAGGGCTGGGGCCTTCCAGTAGCATGCACTGTTAAAATGCTCTACTCTGCAGGCTGAGACCACATAGAAGGCCCAGGTTTGACTCCCTGTCTAACCCAAAGACTAGGCATGCACCTGTAATCCCAGGAGTTGGGAGGCTGAGGCAAGAGAACTGCAAGTTCAAGACTGGCCTGGGCAACAGAGGGAGACCCTGGCAAAGAAAAAGTGTAGCAGCAAGCGTTTGTAGTTGTGGCTACTTGGGGAGGCTGAGAAAAAATTATCAAGACAGAGTGAAATTCTGTCTTTAAAAAAAATGAAAGAAAGGGGGACCAGCAGTTAGTGTAATGGCTATGTTGCTGAACTCCCATGTAGCCAACTGCGGTTCAAGTCCCGGACCCGGTGGCTTAAACTCATGCAGGGTGCGTGTGCGTGCGTGCCCAAGATCCCAAGAGGAGAATGGAGGAGAAGGGATTGAGGCGTGGCCATCCCCTCTGAGGGGGGGTGGAGGTGATTACTCGCTTTTTATCTCTCTGTCTTTCTGGCGAGTGCATGTACCCTATAGCAAAAACCTCTCCAAAAAAATTTTTTAACTGAAAGAAAGAAAAGAAAATCAAAGAATAGGGCTTTGGTTAGCTGGCTTTCAGTACCACAGACCAAATATTCTGTCTTATGTATCTTGACCACCAGCCTGATCCGGAACACCAAACTCTCACTATTCCTGGAGAAGAGGCAGCCTGGGTACAGAAGTCCCACTGATTTTTATTGATCTGACGACGAACCCAAGGACTCTTTAAGTCTTCCTAGCCTGACATAATGTTTTCATTAATTGGCATTTCTGGGTACAAATTTGCAGACCCACTGTAAATCCCCATAATTGTACAGTCACATCCAATTATTCAAAGCATCCAAATCCACCTTCTTCACAGTCTCTAGCATTTTTGTTTAAAATGCAGGGTTTGCTCCACTTTAGATGAATTGGATCAGAGTATCTAGGGATGGACCCGATAATCGGCATGTTTAACACACTCCCTCAGGATTTGTAAGGACTTTAAAGGCTCAGAACCCCTGAGAAAGCCAGTCCCTCTTCCCTTACCCTGAACCAGTCCTTCCATTTGTATACAGATGGTGTGGCCCGAAGGGGAGGAAGCCAAAGTCTCTTTTATTCTCCTAGTCCTGCGGTTTTCAGAGTGATCCTCCCACCAGCTGTATTGGCAGTAGCTGGAAGCTTGTCAGAAATGGAATTCCTCAGGCCCAGCCCTGGTAGTGCAGGCAGCAGGGGCACTGCTGTATGGTGCTGGGGGTCATGTGGGAAGGCTCTGGGTTTGTGTCCAGGTTCGAGTCCCTGGGCTACCTGAGCATG